GGCACATTTGAGCGTAAAATGCATCAGCAGGGATGGAAGCGAGGATACTAAGACTTCCAAGTGGGGATAATCATAAATCCACCAGTAAAATTAAATTATGTTGACAGAGAAATGCGCTGATTTTTTGCACCAAGCCCCATCCACACATAGTAACTACAAATCCACACATTATCAGCCCCAGAAAGATGATAAAACTCCAGTGATTCCACTGGTTTTAGAGAAAAGGTGGCTCCTTTGCATCCCTGTCATAAGGTGTGATTACGCCCATGGAGGTAAGGTGGGCTTGCTGCTGCTTTCCCCTGCAAACAGGCAGGATCATTTAATTGAATTTTCTCATTGAATGATTTATTAAATTGCTTGTAGCCTATATCAAGCTTGAGTGGCAACACGCGCAACAGCTCCAAAATGCGTCTTTGGACGGCTGATGCGCAAACAGAGCCTAATGAAAAATAACATTTCTTTCTCAAATCTTAACACAGGGACTTCTTCTGTCTGTGATAATAAATAGTAAGTTTTGAGTGATTGACGGTACTTCGTGCTTCTTCTGGTATGGCTGAATATTTCTATAATAATCCGGTTTGGCTGTATTTTGTGTAATATTCTTAATTCTCTCATCTAATAGGGTAATTATAGTAAAAGCAGTATTTACATGGTCTAACTTGAACCCCTGAAGACGTGCTCTCACAAGGAAAGCCGAGGCAATAACAGGTGAGAGGCAACAATGGTGCAAAATGATGCAAAATGGATCAATGTGCCTGTTGTCAAGCCACATGTATTCATACAGCCAAGTCAATACCTACCAGTCTGAGTCAACGAAGCAACCAAGATGGCTTGGGTGAAAAGGGACAATAGCACCCTTAGATTGTACAACACATACATTCTGTAAAAGAAAAGAAAGACAAACGGGAGGGCAAAAGCGTCCAGGGAGGGGGGCTACGTCCAAAAGAGAAATATAAGCGAAGATTGTCTCAAAGTAAGAGATCTGGTTGTTGTAGGGTCCCCAGCATCCTGCGATCTTCAGCACCAGATCCCCGCGTCTGTCAGGGAACAACTTGCCATCTCCTGGAAAAAAAATAATCCAAACGCAGAAAAAAAGGAGACGAAGATTCAAAAAAGGGAAAAATCCGTTCGCCAAAAGTGGCAGCTGTGCGCCCTCGACTCTTTATCAAACCTCTCACTTCTCACACCAAACAGGAGCGATGGACGTACTTCCAAGCGTAGAATTTAAGAGAGAAATCAGTAGTTAAACGAGATTCAGAGAAAAACCAACCGCCAGGAACATCGGCGCTCTCCAGATCTTCACTCCTTATTTCAGTTCGGCTCTCTCTCCGCCTCTCTCTGATCGCTGCGACTGACTGACCGCCACAGCAGAAATGTCAGAAAATACAAGGCGAGCCGTGAAAGTAACAGCGGAATTTCCACTCCCCAAATTCCTGCTGCCAGACGCCACTGCGCGCAACCAGCAGCGAGCGACCGCTACAAGGGGCTGGAGCAAACTGACACCGGTGCGCCCTCTGTGCGCTCCCGACGCATGCGAGCGAGAGATCTGCGCACGCAAACTCCCGCTGCCATGTGAGTCTGGTACAAGGTGTGGGCAGCGTCCACCAAACAGCCGCGATTCCACATCTGATCTCTGTTAAACCGAGGAGCAAAAGGATTCAGGAGACACAGATGTGCTCGTTCCTTTCTTCGTTGACCTACATCTGATAGTGTGTCCCACTGACCGGATGGGTTCATCAGTGTAATGATACGTTGGTCTGGTTGTTTTTTGGTGATGTAAATGCTGAGAATTAGCCGATATGTTTAGGTTAGAAGGAATATGACGCATTATTTTGTTGAATTTTTTTAATGTTTAAACGTGTAATTGCATTTTCTTTGTTTCATTTTACCAAAGAATCACTAAATTCATTTGTTAACTGACCTTGCATTAAAATGGATATGAAATGTCCTGAAAACTAATTATTTATGATGTTTTGTCTTTTATTTTATTTAATATAAAGTTAAATAAAGAGGATTGGGTTATCTTTATATTCACATTTTTTCGACAAAGGCTGAACATGGACAGGGAGGTGGAGGAAGAAAGATGACACAAAGAACTATTCGTTTTCTTTCTCAGTTATCAAGAACTCATAAGCAGTCCATGTACTTAGCCTGATACATAAAATGCACTCTGTTAGCCATAGTAATCAGACTGTAATGTTGAGTGCATTGCAGAAGTTCCTGCCTCATCTAGAGGTATTAGCCATCATCGATTTCCTACATTTCCCATAATGCCTTTCAGAAACCCCCCAGAGAACATGCCTGAACTTGTTGCATACTGGTGTGTTCTTTTAATATGAGAAGAAAGCAATATTAATAGTGATGGAAGAGCAAAAGTGTCACAATACACAACGTGTCTGTTAATTGTGTTCTGGTCAGTAGGGAACAATGCAGGTGGAGGAAGACAGACTTATAGGATCCTCTGTGATGGATGTACGATCGCTGTAAATCGCTGCTCTGACAACAGAATGTCAGTTTTGCAGTTTGTGTTTTAGATCAATATCAAAACCTGCTGGTTCAAAACCTCGGAGGAGCCGAGACAACCTGGTCGAGGACAGTAAACAACTAGGTGTCCTGGAGGGGAGAATATCGAACCCAAATTACACATTAAAGTTTTAAAGGTTGATTTTGATGATCTATCTTTATATTTTCACAATTTTTAGGTAAAAAATGAAAAGAATTATAAAGGAATGTAGTATTTCTCCACCAGAATTGTGTCCTGATAGTGTGGGGAAGACTTTGAAGCATCTAGATAATCATGTTGAAAAATGTACAATACATTTATTCTAAAGATTTAATGAATTAATTAATAGATAAAAACTTAAATAATTGTGAGATTTCACAGGCTTGTGGCTTGTCAAAAATCCTTCGGCAAGTGGAGGTTGAATTTGGACCTCAGTATTTCTAAAACCTTTTCTGGAGTGTCTCTGTGGTAAACAGCAGAGGACTCTCTCCGAGGTGTAGACTATAACTGTATGTAATTAATTAGAGCTTGCTTGTTCAGCACACCTTTCCCGGCTAAATAAAGATAAAAATGTGATTATCAGACACTTATATGAGCTGCTAATGCCTCACCATACTGTACTAACGCAGTGCAATTCATTATAGCTGCATGCTTTAAGAAAACTGTCCTTGTGTTCTGCTCTGAGCAAACAGGAGCTGTTTAGTTTCCCTGAATGTCAGCGTTTGCATTCTCACTGAGGGTCCGCCTGCAGTAATCAGTTGTTCAGATTAAGGCTGCCAGTCTCAGGAGAAGATTTAAACAAGAAAAATAACAATAGTGGTAAAGTGTTTTTCAAATTAGGCCAAATATAGGCCGAAGTATACTGAATATCTTGCTGTCCAGGGAAAATCTGCAAATTTAGTGATTCTGAATTTTTTAGATTAACTGAAGTGTGCCTTAATGGCCTGAGAAAATTCTCTTACTTCTCAAAACAAAGCATAAAAAAAACCCCTTTGGATTATCTGAAAACACATTGCCCCAAAGCAGAAAATGAGTCTTGTAAACCCATGAAAAGCTGATGTTTGGGGGATATATAGAATTCATAGCACGTGGACAATAGAGGGGAGCAGAGTGCGCAGACTTGTGACATGCAGCAACAAAAAGCACACACTACTCACTCACCCGGTGCACAAAGCATAAATTAACTAAAAAGACTAGTTTCTGTGACATTTATACCCACAAAACTAATTGCAAATTTGCAATTGCAAAAACAAGCCTAGGCAGCCTAATTATAATGATCAGAGTAAAATCATTTGGGCATTGTGGGGACGTGAGAGTGTGTGTGTGTGTGTGTGTTTGTGTGTGTAAGTTAAATGTGAGCAGAGACACTGCTGTTCTTCAGAAACTACAAGTAAGAAGCAAACATCAAAGTGCCAGTACACAAGATACTGTACCCTCCTTAAAGCTGCTAGCAGCTAGCTATCAAAATGTTTGCAAAAGCAGTGTGTTATGAAGAAATGCAAAACCAAAGAAGAACCTATGAAAACAGCAGCAACAGGAGCCGTTGCTAACTGACAGGCCAGCAGCTGGTCTATAAAAGTTAATGCCACTGGAATTTCAGGCCGACATCAACAATAACCTACTGAAACGCCTACATGGAGTTACTATCTGACTCCTTTTGTAATAATATTTTGCATCTACTATAAGTTTCCCTCTGCTAAATCAACTGGCTGTAAACTGTAAGACTTTGTAACATATTGGATCCGCTCCTAATGGTTCCTGCAGTTACTCCATTTGACCTACGTTCATCTGCTTCAACATAATCACACCAAGGAAAGAATCTCATAAAAAAAAGTCTGTCATGCTTGAATGAAAGACAAATACGACATATGCAAGATAATGAACGTAAACATAGAGGATGATGGAGTGAGCGAGTGAAAGCGAGCGTGAGCAGAGAGGGTGATTGAGTGACATAAAAACAGAGTAAGAGATCAGCAAATGAGCAACTGAGTGTTTCTGGCAGTGGGCGAGGAGACACACACACACGACTCACTTCTCAGAAACAGTTTGTATTTGAATCCAAAGATCACAACAGACTTTAATGTTTCCAGTCAAATATGATTCTCATTGAGATTCTAGATTTGGTCTTCAGCAATGTTTACTGCACTCGTATGTGTCAGAGCGGAGACAATAAAATAAAACTCCCTGGCAGCATAACGCACTCATAACACTGCCAAGCATGACTGAAATAGCATCAGTGGCAAAGTACATGTTAGTGACGCAAATTCTGAAGCAAGAACAGAACTCGGTGTGTGTTTGTGTTACGATAATAGATCTGAGCCTTTGAAGTCTTTTGACAACAGTTTTCTTTTGTATTAATGCTGCTGATAGCTGATATTTCGTGCAAATGTTCAACTTCTTGATATTTTTCCATTTTTATGCAAAGTGCTTCCAAGTATTCAGAGCCATTAATCAGGATAATAAAAGGCCAATAACAGCACGATAAATCACTTTAATGCTAGTTCGTGTTCATTAATTATAGGGAGTGTGTTTGCGTTGAGGCGAACTTTAGCGTGTGAGTGAGTGTGAGAGGACGGGGAGTGAGATATGGAGAGTGCGGTATGTGTTGAGTGGTGTTTCAAAACTGCAGCCATATGGGAACGAATGTTAATCAAAAAGATATTTTTGTATATTCTCAATATTGAAAGATTTCCAGACAAGAATTGCTTTTCTCTGTAACTTAATCTTCTATATCAAACATATCAACTGTTTTCCTGAAACAGCAGCAACAACAACTACATCTGTTTTCCTTTATTTTGATCTTTCTCATAAGTTAAACATAATATTAAAAGAGTTGCAAAGTGGAAAGGAGTTATTTAGCATGTCAAGGGTTCCAGATGTAAAAGTCCTGTTCGGTTTCTCACAGACAATATTAGGTGACTGTCAGTTGGAGTGCATCCAAAGCTTGGATGGATATAAAACTCTCCTGGCTGAATCATCAGCACAAAAGGTAAGAAACCTGTGTTAGAAAATATCTGGTTCTTTGAAAAACACTCCGAGGTAAAAAGCCTGTGTGCAAGGAGGGATGTCAACAGTGATGACAAATGAGCATTTCACTGAGAAATATCAAATCAATTAGCTTAAAATCCCAAAATCCAATTAGTGTGCGCTGCTTACGTTAAGTAGAAGTTAAAGATTACAATTTGTAAAAAAGCCTAATAAATCATTCATCATTAAATCTGTTCCTTCGCAATTCTGGGTCAAGATCTGAATTAGTTTTAGCTCTGATTTACACCTTTGACAAAGTTCTTCTCCTCACTGAGCGTCATCTGTGTCTTAGTATTTACATCCATCTGCCATTCCACCATGATAGAAATAAATAAATAAATAATTAAAATAGTGGCCGTAAAATAAACCTAGACTAGTTAAGTTATTCAGGGGTATTCCTTCATTCTATATAGAGCAACATTTGGGATATAATTAAAAAAGGAGAATTTACAAAAGGGGAAAATACTTAAAGAACCAGAAGCTGCAGATTTTTTTTATCCTTTAGTTTTTCCAATAAACTCAAAGTTTTCTCTCTAGATTCTACATTTTTCTTTGTATTCATCAACTATCACAGCGTTGGCACACTGTCAAAGGTTCATGGGAGCTGTGATAATTGAACGCTAACAATATTATGAATATATTTATATATACACACATACATATATATTTAAATATAGAAGTGTTCAAGTTGTGCGGTACCGTGTTGAAGAATAGTGACAGTAGTTCAAAATAGCTACACTTTCAGTACAATGGTAGAGCTCATAACATGGACAGAAAACTCCACAAATGCTTAAACTTTGCAGAAGTATGGCTAAAACAAACCTTCTGAGAAAACCTGTTGGATAGAACAATAGAGGAAGAGCCAGGACACAGGTGGGTCTTCAGCTCTTTCTACCATATACTTACTTTCACATACTTGCACAGTCTAGCGTGCACCTCCAAAAAGTTTGAATGTAATGATAACTGCCTTTACATTGCAAACATACAGATACACATAAACACTTACAGTTGAATGTGTATGTACATGCTTGATCTCACACACACACGCATATAATAGCTATGGAATGATGGAGGAGGGGCGGTATTTCTATAATGACACAGTTATACCTCAGTAATTACAGGAGACACTGACA